TCCCAGTGACTCCCAGTGACACCCAGTGACTCCCAGTCCACCCCAGTGACTCCCAGTGACTCCCAGTCCACCCCAGTGACTCCCAGTCCACCCCAGTGCCTCCCAGTGACTCCCAGTCCATCCCAGTGCGTCCCAGTGCCTCCCAGTGACTCCCAGTTCATCCCAGTCCACCCCAGTAACTCCCAGTGACTCCCAGTCCATCCCAGTGCCTCCCAGTGACTCCCAGTCCACCCCAGTGCCTCCCATCCCCTCCCAGTCCCTCCCAGTATAACCCCGGGCCAGGTAAGAGACAGAGGTGAGGGGGCGTGGCCTGACCGCACCCCTCCCCCCTTGTGGGCGTGGCCAGGCTGCCTCCTCACCCTATCACTGCTGCTGTCGGCGCTGGACCCCCTTGGCCACGCCCACGAGGCCCGGAAGCACCTGGAGAACCTCAAGGTGGGCGTGGCTTCGGGTGTGGGCGTGGTTACGTAGACCACGCCCCTTTCTGACGTGGCCACGCCCCCCCAGGAGGCCGACCCGCTGCGATTGGGCTTCGCGGCCGACGCGGCCTCGCGATTGGAGGCGGCGCTGGGGGTGCTGGGATTGGGGGCGGGGCCGGGGCCGGTGTGGCTCCGCCTCCCCGAGAAGGTAAGGAGCACTGGTTTGTACTGGTTTATACTGGTTTATACTGGAGGGGTTGCAGGACTCACTGGGAGCGATTTTGGGGCTTACTGGTTTCTACTGGGAGGGGGCACGGGACCCACTGGGAGTGATTTTTGGGCTTACCGGTTTCTACTGGTTTATGCTGGGAGGGGTTGCAGGATGCACTGGGAGTGATTTTTAGGGTTACTGGTTTATACTGGTTTATACTGGAGGGACTGCGGGGCTCACTGGGAGCGATTTTTAGGGTTACTGGTTTATACTGGTTTATACTGGGAGGGGTTGCAGGACTCACTGGGAGTGATTTTGGGGCTTACTGGTTTATTCTGGTTTATATTGGTTTTTACTGGGAGGGGTTGCAGGATGCACTGGGAGTGATTTTTGGGCTTACTGGTTTCTACTGGTTTGTACTGGGAGGAGCGCAGGACGCTCTGGGAGTGATTTTTAGGGTTACTGGTTTATACTGGTTTATACTGGAGGGGCTGCAGGACTCACTGGGAGTGATTTTTAGGGTTACTGGTTTCTACTGGTTTATACTGGGAGGGGTTGCAGGACTCACTGGGAGTGATTTTGGGGCTTACTGGTTTCTACTGGTTTATACTGGATTCTACTGGGAGGGGTTGCAGGACCCACTGGGAGTGATTTTGGGGCTTACTGGTTTATACTGGTTTCTACTGGGATGGGGTTCATACTGGTTTCTATTGGGAGGGGGGTTCATACTGGTTTCTACTGGGAGGGGGTTCATACTGGTTTCTACT